TAACCCTAACCCTAACCCTAACCCTAACCCTAACCCTAGCCCTAGATTGAACCCTAACCCTAACCCTAAACCTAAACCCAGCCCCAGCCCTAACCCTAGCCCTAGCCCTAAACGTAACCCCAGGCCCAGCACTAGGCCTAGCCCTAAACATAACCTGGGTATGAGCCCCAGCCCGAGTTTAACCCTAACCCTAACCAAAACCATAACAATAACCTCAGCCTCAGTCGGAGCCCTAACCCTAGCTTTAACGCTAACCCTAACCCTAACCCTAACCCTAACTCTAACCCTAACCCTAACCCTAACCCCTGTACCAGCCCCAGCCCCAGCCCCAGCCCTAACCCTCAGGAGAGCTCAGCTGGCCTTGGGGTGCAGACCCAGGCAGGGGCCTCCCAGCTGAGAGCTCCCAGCGTCTCGCTCCTCCAGGCCTGGTCTTGGTGCAAGCCCTCCCTGTGCCGCCTGACCTCCCGCCCGGCCTTCCCTCACTTCTTGTCTGCTCAGCCAGCGCTGCAGCTACAAAGGTTACAGAACTGTGGATCTGGCTGTAAGGCCTCCGGGTGTGGGTGGTGAGACTGAGGCCCTAGCTGTCCAGGTCACAGTGTCAGGCAGCGACAGGCTGGGATGGCCTCTGCCACCTGACGTCCGACCCTGGCCCCGGAGTCACGAGCGCAGGGGGACTGGTGATGCCTGTGTGGGGGGCTGATGGGCAGATGACAGGTGGTGGCCATCAGGTGAGGAGGCTCAGGTTGAATGAACGGGGGCCTGGCTGGGGGACACGGTGGGCAACCAAGTCCTGCTCACAGCGCCTGCAGCTCTCTGACCCTCGGTGCTGTGGCCTCCCTCCCTGGCCAGCCCTGCCCTTGCCTACAGCACTGGGGCCCGGGACAGCTGCCTCCCGAGAGGGCGCACCCACCATTGTCCGCTGCCAGGAAGGTTGCCTCGTAGACATTGTTTTTGATGTACAGGGACTCGCGGTCCAGGATGGCCGCCGTGGTGATCTGACCGTTGGAGGCATTGATGTGCAGCCAGTTCGCTGGGTCGGACAGCTTTGAGTACCTGCAGGGGTGGAGGAGCAGAGCCAGGGCTGGGCCATGTGGGCTGCCGTGGGCCCCAGTGCCCTGCACCCCAGGGACCAGGGACCAGACAGCCCAACATCCGGGCATAGCCCGCCTTTCAAGCTCCTGGTACTTGGGGAGCTGTGAACTCCGTGAGGTCGGGAGCCCTTCCCACCTGCCTCCCCCGACTTCCTGGGTCTCTGCAGGGCTACCTCCTCGTGGACAGCAGCACCGAGGCCTGGAAGCCCCTGCTGGGCCGGCTGGGCTGCGGACCCACCTCACAGCCTGCTGCATGAAGCGGTCAGGGTCCACAGCCGAGAAGGTGGTGAGTGCGGTGCCGGCGGGCACACCCTCCTCCAGGCGGATCAGCTTGCGGTTGGAGGGGAAGTAGGGCGCCTCGTTGAGGTCCGTGACGGAGATGGTCACTCCTGCCGTGGACTGGAAGGACATCTGGATCCCACTGGCCAGGGGTGCCTGGTTGGACACCATCACGGTCAGCATGAAGGCCCTGTTCAGCTCGTAGTCCACTGCCTGGAAGGGAGAGGGGGCCGGTCAGTCTGCGGGGCCAGCCCCACCCTGCTCTTCCGCCCGCTCCGCCCGTGGCTCTGCGCCTGCCTTCTGGCACCAGGAGTCCTCGGCTCTGGCTTCCCGCAGGGTGTGGCCAATGGCAGGAGACAGAGGTTGGGGGGAAGGACCCCAGGCCCTGGTGAGGCAGGGATAGGGCTCCTGGGGGCTCCTGCCCTGCGGGGCGGCCTCTCCTCCCTGGTCCAGTGCTCACCCACTCCCTCCAGCCCAGAGCGCCCACTGGGAGCGGTGGGCCATGGGGGTCCCCAGAAGAGACAGCCACCGGTATTTGTAAGTGGATTAGGAAATGGGGTCTCTGCAGATGCCATTCTGTGGATGGAGAAGTTAAACGTCTCACAATGGGATTATCCAGCTCAGCGGAAGGCAAAGGGACTTGAGATGCAGACAGGCTGAGGCCGTGTGCAGACAGAGGCTTGGAAGGGTGGGGCTCCCAGCCAGTGAGCCCCCGAGATTGCCAGCGCCCACCAGAGACTGGGGAGGAACAGGTGCTCGGCAGGGGCTTCTGGGGAGCACAGACCTGCCAGCACCTCAACCTCAGACCCCTGGCCAACAGCGCTGCGGGGAGTGCGGTCTGTTTTTTGTTTGTTTCGGTATCTGGAGATTGAACCCAGGCCCTTTGCCCCAAGCTATATCAGTGCAGTTTTTACTTTGACACAAGATCTTACTAAGCTGGCCAGGCTGGGCTCAAGCTTGTGATCCTCCTGCCTCAGCCTCCCAGGGTGCTGGGATTACAGGCATGCATCTGACTTGCTAATTGTGTTTGTGTGTTGTGACTTGTTACTGCAGTCCCTGGACACCGCACCCCAGGCCTGTGCACTCAGGGATGGGACTGCAGTTACGCCCTTGGTGGGGTAAGGGGAGGCTCTGGCTGATGACTGCAGGAAGCTTCCATAGTCTGATGAGAGGTGCGCGGCCAGAGAAGCTCTGCGCAAGCCTTTCCCACACATCTGGGCCGAGGGAAGCTGCACAGAGGCAGCGTGGGGCCGAGAGGCCAAGCCTGCAGCAGTCTGCGTGGGGCCCCACATGACAAGACAGGCTGCACTCGCATTTAAAAAATCCCACTTGGGCACAGGCCAAGTAGCGCGCAAGACTAGAGGCCACCCGTGGGCCCCACGTGTGCCTGCCAGTGGTGGCGAGATCCGGACGGAGGGGCAGCCTGCAGCCGTGCAGAGTGAACCTGTGTGACCCAGAGCCCAGGCTCCCGTCGGGAGGAGCCGAGAGCTGAGCGCTTAGCAAGCAGGTGAGATCGGGCAGGCGCAGCGGGCCACAGCTGCAGTCCCAGCTCCCCCGGCAGCTTAGTGAGATTCTGTCCTGAAATAAAGCAAAGGGCTGGGGATGGACTGCAGCGCTAGAGTGCTCACCAGCACGAGTGAGACCCAGGGTTCAGTCCCTAGTACAGACACTCTTGTTTAACCACTGCTCGGACTGACCCCTGCCGCTCGACTTGTGACGGTCTTTTACTTTCAGACAGGTCTGTGCATCTTGTTTATGGAGCCCCGTGTCTTTTCTGTACAGCACACCTTGTTCATACGGTCCTGTCGTCTTGCTCATTGTACTGCAGGCTACAGCGCTGTAGTTCTGTGTTCTGTTGTACATTACAGCGCTGCCTGTTAGAGCTACGCAAATCAAAGCAGTCATCAAGTTGGGGTTTCCTTTGACGGTTTCTTCGTTCTAGTGCTGTAATGTACGCGCTATGTTTAATTCCTCATGCAGCGACCGATTCATTTAGCGGCGGAGTCACAGCTAAGGCACTCAGTGATGGAGGATGAGGGCGATCCCGTGGAGATTCCACGCCATCACCAGGGTGCAGCCGCCGTGGTTATGAGGAGGAGGGCCAGGCTGTGGTGCCCGGCCTGTCCCTGTGTGGGGCACGCTCTGCCGCAGGAAGACCATCCCCAGACTCGGCCCTCAACTCTGGACCTCCGGAGCCATGACACAAAATAAAACTTTTCGTGGTAATGGATCCAGCCTGTGGGACTGAGTTACGGGGCACAGATGGACGTGGACAGTCGGAACCCTGAGGGGAGAGGTGCCGGCGCCTCTCGGAGAGCGAAGAACAGGACAGGAGGTGGGCGGCAGCTTTCCTCCCGTTCCTTTACTCTGCTGGGCCCTTGGCAGCCTCATGCGTTGCCCGCCGGTTCCCTTATGTGGGTCTGCGGGGAGCAGAAGCATCCCGGCTGGAGGGAGGGTGGGCTGCTCACCTCGTGGCAGCCAGGAAGCAGAAAGCAAGAGTGGAAGACGGAGGGAGGGGGAGGGCGGGGTGGGGGAGGGGAGGAGCTGCCCTGGGACTGCACACGCCTCGAGGCTACACCCAGGAAGGTCAGGACCCGCTCCTTCTCAGCCCCACCTCCTGTTTCCGTCACCTCCCCAGCACCACCCCCTTACGATCCCACCTGAGGAGTGGGAGCCCTTGGGGCCGGGCGCTTCCCCAAAGTCCACCAGCCCGCAACCAAGTATGTGAGTCTGGGGACATGGCAGGTGGGAAGCGCAGCGTTTTGCACGTGTATCTGCTCATAGCTTCAGAAAGCACCTGGGAAAGTGTAGCGGAGCGCTGGCAGAAGCGGTCGCCTGTGACAGAAGGCAGGTCTGAAGTCACGGCGGGGTCACTGTGCCTGGACCGTGCAAGTCCACTTCGGGGTGACACGCCCCTCACCATAGAGCCTTGACTTTGGAGACCGGCTAGCTTACGTCCTCACCTTCGGTACTGCAGGCACAATTATATATAAAGCAGTCTCCAAGATACGCAAAACCAAGTGTCCGTCAGCTGGTAACATGACTCCCAAGGCAGTTACCGCTCAGAGACGGGTGCCCAGGGCTGGGCCCTCCCGGGACTGCTTCTAAGACAGCAGCAGAAGAAAGAAATCGCAGACTCATTCGGTCTTCCCGTTGTTGGTGGTGACCTCAGGTTTGGTATTTTTAGCGGTTTATATATATTGTAGGGTAAAGTAAATAATTATGCTGAGAATGTCAAGACCCAAGCGTTACCATGTAGGACAAAGGAGATGCAAAGATAAAATTAACACAGTTAAGTAAGAACTCTCCGAAGTCAAATTCGAATCGAATATTCGTTTCAGTCAGTGGAATGAACTGCGATGCCCCGTAGGGCCCCAGGGCGAGCGGCTGCCCGCCTGTGCCCCGTGCTGGACCTGAGTGCTGGCCGGCAGGCTGCTCCTGGCCTGAGGCAGGAAAGCAAGAGGTGCTCAGCTGAGCACGGGCCGCCGGTGGGAAGGGCGGGAGTGGGTGGCTGGAGGTTTGAGGAGCAGGACTCCGCTGGCACAGCCCCACGGGCCAGAGGAGGGGCTGCTTGAGCATCAGAATCCATAGTGCATTCCGAATATGCAAACACCCATGCATTCTTAGTAATAATAACGAGAAAAAGAAAAAGCAAAACAACAACTCCACCGGTGTGGTCGGCTAGGAAATGACCCCTGAAGACAGCCAGGGGCTGATCCCTGGCACCTGCCACTGGGATCGGTGGCCAAGGCCGAGCAAGGGGCTGGAGGTGACAGCAGCTGCGAGGGACCTGGTGGGGTCCCTGGGGTGCTGGGAGGCCCCACCCTGGCGGGGTTCTTCTGTGGTTTGCCTCTGTCCCTTTGTCCCGCTCCCTGTGTCTCTGGCCTCTGCCTTCCTCCTCACGTCTTCCCTCGCTCTGATCCTTCTCTTTTTTGTTTTCTTTTTGAAACAGGGTCTCACTGTGTAGTTCCTGTTAGCCTCAAAGTTGTGGTGATCCTCCTGCCTCAGCCTCCCAGTGCTGGGGTTACAGGCGTGCTCCACCATGCCAGGCTCAGCTCCTCCTATCAGGACCTGATCGTCTTGGGGCTGCCTGGATAGGCAGGGTCATCTCCCATCTCAAGACCCTCCGCAGAATCGCACCAGCAGTCTCCCGTGCCATCTACCACGGTGCATTACAGCTTCCTGGAGCAGGGCATCCTGGGGGCAGCCATTATTCTGACCCCACAGACCTGTATTTCAGAGCAACCACAGGCCCTGTTGGTGAGGAAAGCTCTTTCGTACAGGAGGGTTTCAGCTAAGGGACGAATGGTAGAATTTTAAAAGCACTGTACCCCTAATGCCTTTGCGCTGTGATTTGTCACCGACAGATGATACCACCAACAGGTGCACACTGGTGGAGAGCTGGGCGTTTGTGGTGTACGGGGCGTCAAGCTGTCATCAGGGGGAGTAGGCTGTCCCCGCTGAGCCCTGGTCAGGCCTGGATGCCTGTGAGTGGGACAGCCGGCCGCCATGGGTCATGGGTTCCTGGCTCGAACGGAGCTCCTGGCCCCAGGCCCCTCCTCAGGGACTGACCCTTCAGGTCCACAGCCTTCCTCGCAGGGAGTGTGGGCCGCGGGGGACCAGATACACGGCAAGGAAGCCATCAGAAGCCCCAGCATGAGAGAACCCCACAGGCAGCCATGGGGGGCATGCTCTAGCTCGAGAGACTCCTGAGGTGTTACAACCAAATGCCATGCGGGGAAGCCGTCTGGGTCAGGTTTAGGTACTTAGATCGCAAAGAGACAGTTTTGAGGGAGACCGAATATGAACTTGGATAATGAGGGTCGGGCGACTGTGTTAGGTGGGGTGGCGGTGTGTGGTCATGTAAGCAGCACGCACTTTTGAGGGTGACACATCCTGACGTGTTGAGAGGTGAAGGACCATGAGATCTGGGAATGAAGACGAGACACTCTTCAGCAGAATATGCGGAGGAAGCTCCTGCCATTGGTCCCGCGTGGTTGCTATGGTCTCTTCTCGGCCTGCCTGGGAGCCTCGTGATAAAACCTTAGAGCAGTGCTGTCCTGAAGCCAGCCTTCTGCCTCTGTGGTTGCTGGCGGCAGTGTGTGTGTATGTGTGTGTGTGTGTGTGTGTGTGTGTGTGTGTGTGCATTTGTGGGTCCCACCTGGCACTGGCTCACCTGGCTCTGAGCCCGGCCCTGCCCCAGGGCAGCTGTGACAGTGCTTCCCAGCTACTGCTACTAAAGACGGTCTTTGACTGCAAAAAGAAGGAATTAGGGCTGGGGATAGAGCTCAGTGGTACAAGTGCCTGCCTGGCAAGCGCAAGGTCCTGAGTTCAATTCCCGGTACCAAAAATAAATAAATAAATAAATAAAAACAAGGAATTAACGATCAGGTAGCAAGTGGGCAAGGACAGGAGACAGGCTGGCTCGTGAGCCCCGAGGGAGTGGCGCCCGGTGCCTCTGCCTCCTCAGTGCCCAGCGCTGTGCCGTGGAGGTTAAGACCGGCTGTCACCTCTGAGCTCCGTGTTCCCAGAACCGGGCCCTTCAAGGGCCACCATGGCAGCACTTTCGATGGCCTAAGCTGCCTCAAGTCTGACAGGGTGCCCGGTGCACAATGACCCGAGGGACCCAGGCGGGAAATGGCGAGCCTCATCGGTCCTGGGCTTGGTTGCTCTGCCCCTGGGTGCAGGTGCCCGCCAGCACGCAGCGCCAGCTGGGCCTACGCTGTGACCAGGTCCCCAGGGCTGCAGAACTGAGCCCTGGATGTCGCCACAGCCTCTCCCCAGGACCCCAGGCCGGCCGGGCTGCTGAAACGCATTGCTTCCTGGAGCCGCGGGGCTGCGTCTGTGAGAGCCAGGAAGGGAAGGGACCTCGCGCCCGGATTTATTGCTTTGTGTCCCTGGGGTCGTGGAATAACGCTGCGTGTCTGCATTAAAAATGGTGTCACAGTCTGAGCAAGTAGGCCTTCCAGAAAGACTATTATGGCCAATAAAAGTCCCAGGAAGGTAAAATAAAACACGTTCGTAATGGAGAAATCAATAAGTAATTTGCTCCTGCGGTTTCAATTAGGGCAGCTGGATCCGCTCCTGAGGGAGGTCGGGCCACCGCACCCAGCCTGTGACTCCCAGGTGGGGGTGGGGGCCCTGGGGACAGGGGTAGGCTGGAGCCGTGGGGCACCCTGGGGTGCGCGTTGTACTCTATGGGAGGAAGCCGCGTGAGGGACTCTGTCTCCCTTGCTGGGGGAGGGGACAGTCCACCCAACCGGGGACTGCAGGATGCTGCTCCCAGGAGCCTGCAGCGGCATTTGGGGTGCGGCCCCTTGCCCCACACAAGCCGTGGGCAGGAGGGGTGGCGGCAGAGGCGGCGGCGGCGGAGGCCAGGCCATGGCTGTGCTCCAGGGCGAGGGCCAGACTGGCTGGAACTCAGGACAGCGACCCCCGGAGCCCTGAGGTCTGACTGGCAGTGAGGGCTCTGAGGAGGGCAGGAGGTGACAGACACCCCTGAGGCTTGGGGCCTGGGAGCAGACAGCCTGGGCGCCCAGCTCTGGTCCACCTGAGGGAAGTGGCTGGCTTTTGGGGGCTCCGGATCTGCGATGGGGCAGGGGGCTGGGCAGGCATCAGCAAGACCTGCCTGGGAGGACTCCTGAGGCCCGGGACGACATCACTACCATCGGTATATGCAGTCCTGGTCCCCACCCCGGGCCCTGCTGCATGGGCGCCTCCCTGGCATGCCCAACTGCCCCCAAGAACTGCATTTCAAGGTGACCAGCAGCCTCCTCCCGGAAGGATGCTCGTGCTGCAGAAAATACCAGCTAATACATGAAGAAAAGACGAATGGGAGCGTCCCCTGGAAACAGTGGTGGGGTGCAGCGGCCAAGGGTCGCATAGACCTGGGAGCTGGTGCCGTGGGGGATCAAACACCAGCCCCTCCCCCATGGATCTTCCCGTCCCAGCAGAGGCCTGACTGTGCCTTGCAGACCTCCCCGAGAGAGCCCCAGCTCAGCCTCAGCACAGCAGCGCCTTGCTGAGAACAACAACCTCCAGCTCATCAAGGTTTTGGGGGAACTTTTAGTTCCTGGAACTGGGAGGGGCGCTCAGTTTCTCCCCCACTGGGCGGCACAAAAACAGGCGGGGCTTTGTCAGGTGGACAGGGAGAGGCCAGAGGGAGGCTCGAAGCCAAGGCCTGAAAGTGTGTGGGTCGGGTGTGAACCACCAACCCCAAGCAGACGGCTCCCACAGCAGAGAAAATAAATGCTGGTGAGCCCTGGAGAGTGGGGGACCCGCGGGCACAGAGAGGGCTCCCCACTGCCTCGGAGCTGTCAGGCACAGAGCGGAGGTGGGACTGTCGCAGCGTAGCCCCTCGCTCCCCACACGTCCGCGCAGAGGACTTGGCAAATGCATCAGTGTGCGAACGGTTATTTCATCGCAGGGTCGTGTGGGGACTCATCTTACTGTGCCCCTGCTTTCCTGTGTGGTGGGAAATCTCATGGAGGAAGTAAAGGGAGGGATTTGTGAGGAGTCTGCGGCAGGGCCCGTCTTCCGCCGCTTGCTCAGAACACCGGCTCTTGGTAACCAGAAAGAAGACTGGGACACAGAGGATGGAGGAGGAGTCCCTGGGTTGTGTGGTAGGTGCTGGGGTCTCCTGCAGCCCCCACTTCTTCCTTGGTAGCAGCAGTTTGAAAAATGTGTCAGCTGACAAACCCAGTATCTCCTCTGGTTAAGAATGACCATGTGACTAAATTCTACCTAAGAAGAGGTAGACAAGGGCTGGGGATTTAGCTCAGTGGCACAGCACCTGCCTGGCAAGCGCAAGGTCATGAATTCGATTCCCAGTACCGGAAAAAGAAAGAGGAGAGGTACACAGACCTTCTGGGAAGGTCCTAGAATAAAGGAGGGTTCATGAGTAAAGATCCTTTATTAAGGGTTCAGACCATTCCTTAATTTAGGAGAGGCAAGCCTTTTTTCTTCTTTTTGCTATCCTGCTGCCTGTAAAATTCTTTTTTTTTTTTTTTTCCGGTACCGGGAATCAAACTCACGATCTTGCGCTTGCCAGGCAGGTGCTGTGCCGCTGAGCTAAATCCCCAGCCCTGCCTGTAAAATTCTTATAGTGGCTGGAGCCCTTGCAGCTGTTTTGGACCATGAGGTATTCTAGAGGATGAAAGCATTGCACAACAGAACAGAAAGATGGAAAGACCTGGGTCTCTGATGACTATGCCGTTGTCTTATTGGCCCCAGCTGCTGGCCAATAAGATTGATTCCTCTTACACGCGAGAATAAAACCCTCAAGTATTGAATGTCTATGGTCAACTCTGTGTGACTGGCAGCCTGATATGGTTTCTAAATGATACAGCCCCAAATTAAGCTTGCTTTTCCTTACAGCTGGACCCTCCAGCGTAGCTCTGAGCTCGCCTTTCGGTACCCTCTCTCTCTTGTTTTCTTCTGAGTCCTATTAACATTCACTTTTGGAATGGGAGCCACTGAAGTGCTTTATGCTACACTGTCCAAGATGGTCAGTTTCACCGTATCACTCAGCACCTGCTCTCCCCGGGTCAGGAGAGTTGTCATGTGAGCTGTGAAAAAGGCTGCGGTTAGAGGCTGACTCTCCACTCCGTCAACAGCAGGCTTTTGTAAGTCTCTTTGAAACTGGATTAGGAACAGTTTTCTAGAAAAGCAGACGTGACCAAAACTCTATCCTGCTCTAAAATAGCAGCACCAGACTCCAACCACACAGCCGTGTAACAAATGTTCCAGGGACAGAGGGGGACAGCCTTGCGCCATCCACCCCAGAAGCAGTCTGCACACGCCTTCTTCAGAACCCGGAGCCAGAACCCGGAGCCAGAACCCAGAGCCAGAACCCAGAGCGATTCCACGCAGAGGAGAGCTCTAGGCTCAGAGCAGGCAGGAGAACACCAGAAAAGCACAGACATTAGCAAAAGACCCTACTTCATATTCGCAGCCGGGTGCACACCTGCAATCCCAGCTGCTTCGAAGGTTGAGGCAGGAGAATTGCAAGTTTGAATCTCAAAATAAAAAATAAAAAGGGCTGGGGGTCTAGCTCATGTGAAGGCCCTAATTTTATACGTAAAATCGTAAATCCCTACGACTTCATGACCTGGGATTGCCTCGAGGATGTTTTAATGGTAGAAGGTCCATCCATGAAACTCACCTAGTACAATATTGACAGCAGGGAGGGAGGGTGGTGCTGTTCTGGGGTCTCTGTCTCCAGCAGGTGGGGTACAGCCTCACCTTCGGGTACTGGGTGTCTGCACCTTACCGTTCGACCGTTCTCAGGGTGCATGCAGACAGCAGCCACCCACCTTCACCACGGTGACCATGCCCTCGTTGGTGGCAGGGTCGGTGCGGACGCTGAAGTGCCCCGAGGGGTCCCCGCTGATGATGCGGTAGACGGCGTTCCAGTTGGGCGAGTGGGGCTGGTCGCGGTCCATGACGGTGAGGTTGGCGACCACCGTCTCCACCCTGTTCTCAGGGACCTCTCCTGCAAACTGCAAAATGCAGAAAGGACACCGTTACGGCCGCGTGGACTGCAGCGCTGGGACTCCCTGCCTACAGGCCGGGCATCTGGGACCCTGCCTGTCACCCAGCCCACGTGTGAGGAAGACCTCGAGATGACACAGGGTTGCCACCAACCCGCACCGGGGCTGGGGCTGTGGTGACCCCAGGGCAGTGGGCAGCAGTGTGTGGGAACCAGCGCTGCAGACCCCTGTCCATCCAGGAACGAAAGAATGAGTGAGTGAATGAATGAGTGAACCAAGGGAAGCCTCTGGTAGGCAGACAGACAGGGAGCGGGCCTGTCCCTAGGTCCCAGAGAGGTGCCCCTTGGGTTCCAAAACAAGACAGAAACCAGTGGAAGATCAGGGCCTCCGGCCCGCCCTACCCAGCACCAGGGACTGAGGCAGTTACTGCACTCAGAGGAGAGACTGGGAAGTCACGGGAAGCGGCTCTCCCTGGTGTGACAGGGTGGTCGTCCAGGGAGACCAGGAGCCGGGAGAGGCGCCAGGCTCTCTGCAGGGGAGGCGGCCAGGGATGAGCCTCAGTTTCTCCACCTGGAAACCAGAGCAAGACACTTGTCTGCTGGCCTCCTTGGACAGCAGGGGGAGCCTGCCTGTAGCTCCAGATGCTTTGGGAACTCTGTGGAAGGACAACCAGCGTGTCGCCTGCCACAGCTCCCACACAGGATGGGGGGAGAGGGGCACAGCGGAAAACAGCTGCTCACGTCCGGGCGGTGGGAAGCAGCCAGAGGGAAGCGAGGTGCTGGAAGGGAAAGAAACCCTTCCAGGCCAGGCCCACTCACCCCCTCTTCCTCCCAAACCTTGCCTCCTAACACCAAGCGTCGTGCTTGTGTCCAGGTGTCCCCCCAAAGCCTCATGCGGTCACAGGTGTGGCTTTTGCAGACGTGGCTGGATCTAGAGTGTGACTGGCTCATGGTGCAATGCTGGGATTAAGGGCGTGTGATTACTAGTCAGTCCACCGATGGGTTTGGCACCGCCCTAATGCCAGTAAGCCAGACAGAATATGAAAGGGGCAGAAAGAAGTTGCTAAGGCCCCTTTCCTTACTTGCTTTGCTTCCTTCTGCCCACCATGAACTGCCTCTTCTCTGCAATGCCAGTCTGCCAGGTCATCCGCCTTGGAGCCGGCCAATGATAGGCTGACACCTCCACAAACTGTGAGCTAAATAAACCTTTTCTCATTTAACTTTGGGGGTTAAGTATTTTTTCCTCAACAATGACAAAAGCAACTAAGATACCAAGTCAGTGATAAGGATCCCATAATCTGAAAACCTTCCAAAATCCCTGCCTCTGAGCACATGAGGCTTTGGGAGGACATCAGTCAGGATCATTGATCCCCACCTCTGGTCCAGGGGCCACATCACCCCAAGCTTCCTTAGGGACTGGGTTGGCTTGGTCTAATGCAGGGGTTGGCAAACTACAGGGCCAAATGCAGCCCTCATGCTACTTTTGTAAATAAAGTTTTATTGGCACACAGCCCTGCCAATCACTTACACATCCTCTACACCTACTTTCCTGCTGTAGCTTGAAGCTGGGTAGTTGTGACAGAAGGGGTGTGGTCTTCATCAGTCTCTTCACAGAAAATGGTTGCAGATCCCTGTTCTGCAGCTCTCACCTTAGTAACTGGCTGTGGGTGCATGACCCATGTCACACGACTCATGTCAGCCAATCAGGACTCAGTCTGGTGTCCCTACCTCTGGGCTCCACGTTGTAAGCATGAGTGTCTGAAGGTTGGGTGGGGGCTGCCGTACACACCTGAGAACAAAGGCAGCCTGGAGGAAGCACAGCAGAGAAGAGGGTCCTAAGCCCAGCCCTCACACGCTGTAGGAGCCTTGCTCTGCCTGCGCCCAGGTAGCCCTGTACCACCCACTCTGCCCTGCTCCTGGGCTCCCTGGGGCCTGTTTACAGCGAGCTGGGCTCCTCGGTGCCTTTACAGGCCGAGTGTATTTTAAGTGAGGTGAGTTCAATAACGGTTCACCAAGCAGGGCCTCGGCTGACCGACCAGGCTTAGGATTTTCTTTCACCTTCTCCTAGCCGTAGGGCTTTTAAATTTAATTTGCCAGGTTTTCAGGCACAGGGAGAGCCCTCGTGCCCATGGGACATGAAGGCGGGTATTTGGGAGGAAGAAGCGACTCTAATCCAGGACTCAGATGAGTGACGCTCCCGGGAGCTTCTGTTGGGGCTGCTGGCCCCGCCCCAGCGGAGGCCGAGGTCCATGCTCAGCTCCCAGAGGGTGTCCTGGCAGCCGGGGCTTCGGGTGGGGACCGTGCCCATGGCGGGAGTTGGGAAGCCTGCTCAGCTGTGCCCTGTCCGGATGCCAGCCAGGCCGAGGGGTGGACAGTGAGGTCTGCCCACTGGCCCACCCAGCCAGGGGTCCTATCTTCCCAGAGGAGCGGAGCATTCACACAGGCGACGGCCTCGGGCCCAGAGAGTGGAAGGGTCTTGCCCACAGTCACACAGCGTGTGGGGTCTTGAGAGAGGGCCTCCCTGTGTCAGGGCACGGCTGCCCCCGGGCCAGGCCACACTGCAGCAGTACAGGGAGCCATTCCCGCCTCCCTCCCGCTGTGCTGCTCTAGGCAGGCCCATAACCCGCTGGGCCTGGCTAGCACTGGGTGGCAGAGGTGAGACTTCCTGACCTGCAGCGGGCTGAGCTCCCCGAGTCACCCATACGGTTGGTGACTGTGGCAGGATTCTGACCCAGATTCACCCCGCGCTGAGTCCCAGACTCTGACCTACTCCTCAGTCTCGGCCTCCAGGTCCACAGTACTGAGCACAAGCACTAACCCAGGCCCCCTCAGCCCTCGTGCCCGCAGGCACAGTGAGGTCAAGCAACCACCAAGGCCAGGCAGCCTTACGCAGCACAGCTGGGCTCTGGAGCCAGGCTGCCGGGGCTCCTCACACCTCTCTTGCATTTGCTGGTAAGCAGGGAGGATCCTTTGCAGGATGGCCTGGGACCGTCTTGGCTGAGGCCAGGCACCTCCTGACCTTCCCTGCCATGCTGACAGTGGGTGAGGGCTTGCGGTGCTGTCCCTCATGGTGCACAGCCTTGTGGTGCCCTCGCTTTCGGGGAGCTCCTGTCCAGCCAGTGTGGCCTGGGCCTGCTGGCCTCGGCTGTCCTTCCTCCGTTCTGCGTTAACTCCATAAGTTGGAAAAGTTACAGGCTGCCTGCTCCTCTGACGAGGTGTTTTAAAATTTAGTTTTCTCTCTAGTAAAGTGATGCTGTTGAGTTCTGCACCCTGAAATCAGTATGGTAGGGTCCGCGGCCCTGATCACCAGGTGTGGTCTTTCCTCCTCCTCCTTTTTGTAGATGGATTCTCGAAGGCCTCAGTGCGGGCGGCAGGGCCGGCCTGAGGCTGCGGTCCTTCCGTTCAGCACTGCTGGGGGCGGACAGCTCTCGGGACACAGCCTGTGCTAGCAGTGGGAGGGGAAGGACCCAGGTGTAGTTAGAAAAGAACTCTGAGCCCCCTTCTGCCGGCCGGCTGGCTGGAGGGAGTGAACCTCTCCACCATGGTCCGCTGGTTCTGGCAGGGAGCAGAGTAATGTTGCCAGCATCACCGTTATTAATGATGCCGCTATCGCTGGTGCTTTCCTGAGTGTTTCTGTGAGCCAGGTGGCTGCCACGGGACCGGCAGCTAGGAGCACATACAGTCCTCACACACCCAGTCAGGTAGGAATAGAGGAGAAACTGAGGCACAGAAGGCCCTGGAGCTTGTCCAGGTCAGCGGCCCATCAGCAGGGAGCCAGTTTGGGACTGGAGAGTCTGCTCCAGTGCCCTCCTTGACCTTTGTCCCTAGCTCTCCAGGGTGGCTCAACCACATGGGAGCCCGAGGAGCTGGAGGAGCCCGAGGAGCATGGACAGAGCATCATTGCTGTGGACACCGAGTCCCTGCCCAGGGAAGGCACACTTCTCTGTGTCCTCACCCTGGGTTTGCTGCTCTCGGAAGATGGTTCCCTGAGCTCCTGCCGTTCTGCCTGCCTCTGCTGCCCTGCAGTGCCAGGGTCTCAGTGACCCTTGGAGCAGGACTGCCCCAGGCAGTGAGGGCCGCAGCTGTCCCCTGGCAGTGGGCGCTGGCCGGGTGGGAGGAGCAGGAGGTGATGAGATCTGATGGCTGATGAGTGATGGGCAGGAGGTGAGGTCCAGCGGGGATGGGCTCTCTGGCCCTGGCCTTTGGCCGTCACCTCAGTGCTCAGAATAGTTGCCTCCAATTAATTATTTACCGTGAGGTTCACAGTGTGTGCCCGCGCATAATTAAGGGTACAGAGTCCATTCCGATGTTCAGATGCCAAGTTCTTACTCTCAGAAACTCATGCTGAATCAAAATGTCTCTCTTCCCCCAGGTTTGTGCACTGAATTGAGAAGCTGGAAGTCAGGGTTGGCCAGGGGAAACTCGCCTGCAGGTGAGGGCCCAGGATGGCCGTCGGCAGATGCTGCCTGGCCAGCTCAGCTAGGCCCGGTGGGTGTGAGGCACAGTGCATCTGTGCCCCGCCAGCCTGGGCCTGGAGGACAGCACTGTGCGTGTGCTCCCTGGGGTCCAGAAGAACCTCACAGTCCTGGAGGCTGTGGACGTATAGATCCCCAGGCTCCTGAATTCAGTGGACCCTAGCCCGTGGCAGAACCGTTTTTACCCACCATGCGCAAGTACTCTGTGTGTAGCCACTAACTGTGTGCTGCGGGGTGGATAAGTGTTCCCCAAAACCTCATGGGTTGAGGGCTTTGTTCCCAGCCCCAACTGCTATGGGAAGTGGAGCCTCTAGGAGGCGGGGCCTAGGATGAAGTGAGGTCACAGGGGGCGTGGTCTTAGAGGCCAGTGAGCCACCAGGATGTGAGCAGTGTCACACCACACTCCCCATGCTGATGATCTGCCTGACTACACTGACAAGTAACAGTGACCGCCCACCACGTGCTCAAGCCCCAGTAAGCTTTTCCTCCTTGCAGCCTGATTCTCTGCTTTGTCACAGTGAAAGGAAGAGACACCACGATAGCAGCAAACTGGCTGGACATCTTTTTCTGGGAATTGTCCTCATGCCTGTGGTCCCTTGCCCCACTGGGAGGGCACTTGTGGGGGACCAGGATGGTCTCACTGCCTCCTTTTAAGCGTTTATCCCAGTTTTATCCTTGCCTTGGAGCGGGAAAACAATCATTCAGCACAGAGCAAGGACTAAATGCCTCTTCATGCGCAAGTTGAAACTGCAGTTTAAACTCCATGCCCACACCCCTCTTTCCTGCTGAGCACATGGGCTGGGAGGCGTGGGCGGCTGCTCACACCCCTCACCCAGTAAAGGCTAAGCTGGGCAGAGCGCCAAGTTGCTGGGTGCCCAGGCTAGGGCTAGGGCTTCCATGGCAGTTTCAGAACAGAGCCTATGGTTTGGGGTGTCCCTTCTTATAGTCCAGGGGACTCTCCCTCCTTGAGACAGGTTACACACAAGTGTAAAATGGGACAAATTTGCCGAGCTCGGAGTGGAATGGCCGTCAGCCTGAGGTCACACAACTAGGAGGGACCGAGATGAGGCCAGGATTTCTGGGCCCAGGAGTGTGCTGGTGTGGAGCCCTGGGCTGGGGGAAGGCTGGCTCATGTGACATCTCCAGGCTGCTCCGTGCTGGGTCGGACGTGTCCCCCAGAGCTTCACCTCAGGACCTGTGGATGTGGAAGAGGAGACCCCTGGCCAGGGACCTGAAGGTTGTGTCCACCCCGGCAGGCCTGCACCAACTGGAAGGGAGTGCTGATGGCAGGGTGGACCCAGAACAATCAGGCTGCCCTTTAGTAGGCGGTGTAGCTGAGATCCAGGCAGGAGGGAAAAATCACTTTTAATTAACTGTGAAGAGCAGGAACTGGATCATGCGGTCTCCTGCATCTCTTTAGCTTCTGGTAATCGGTCTTGATTAAACCCAATAAAAATAGCCCTGCCGTGTATGTGGCAGTGTGGTCAGCCTTCCCCGCCTACACCTGTTTCAAGGAGCACCTGCCAAGGGCCACCTGGGCCAGGTATTGACGATGGTTCTCTGATGACTACTCAGGTCTTGTCATGGAAGGCAAGGATTCTCCATTTGTGGGGATCAGGGCCACAGTTCCTGGGGTTTGCCTCCGCCCCAGTGTCACAGAGAACCAGGTGTCTCCATCCTTGTTGCAGGGCTGCACGGAGGAAGGAATTCTCCCTTGATCCTTGGGTCAAATGCAGAATTCTGTCTTAGCATCAGTGTGATTCTCTGCCGCTCACTTCTCAGAGGTGAATGCAGACCTGGGACGTGCTGTAGATCACTCCAATGTCCCGGCACAAGGAGAGGCAGACCCAATCCTTGTCCCACACAATTTCCTTCCTCTCACCCTTCACTGACCCATGGGCCGTTCTAGGAGGCGCATGGGGTGCCCAGTGGGGGTGTTTTCAGTGTGTCTGATCTGCGTGGGGGGAGGCCAAGCCCCATCTGGGAGCAGGCGAGGGGGTGCGGGTGGCCATCCTAGCAGGACCATGCTCAGGACCTGCAGCAGAACAGGTCCACCAGCAGAGCCGTCCCACTGAGCTCAGGTGTGGGGATGGCCTGGGGGTCCCTCTGCGGGCAGGGAGGCCTGGATGCTCTTCTGCTCTGCACCTTGATGTGGGTGATGGTCACAGATACAGACAAGGGCAGACGCCTATGCTGCACCCCTCAGACCGGACTTGCATCTCAGCCAAGCAGGCCAGCAGGTGCGGGGCCACATCTTGGGGTAACGGGAGAAGCTTACTTTGGCTCCTGGCCAATCACACTTCAGGCCACCTTCTTGGACCTAAAAGTTGGAATTCACCTGTTTCAGGAAGGAGGCAGGGCCAACCTCGGGCCCCTGGTTGCTTGTGCACCTGGCAGGCCAAGGTCTTTGGGGTTCCAGCCCCCCCATTGCCTGTGGTGCTTCCCTGTCCCATGCACCTGCTCTCCAGTACCTCGGCTGCCGTGGTACTTCGTCCCTGCTCCTGGGGACGAGACCAAAGCTGGAGTGGTCATGGCTTCCTCCCACCTTGTTTTCCGTGGAGATCTCAGGGCCCTGGGGCTGTTCCCTGGGGGAGGTGGGGTCCCTGCTGCACCCCAACAACAAGCCTCCAGCAGGCTGGTGCTGGGGCCAGGGTGTGTCCCTGGGGGCATCTGAGCACCTGCCCCAGAACAAAGTGGCCCTGACTCTGCAGTCAGAGCAAGGGGGGCTGCCCTGGAGGCTGGGGAACGCATTTACGCCTGGTTTGGGACTGAGGTGAGCTTGGCAAGCTCCTCGCTCTGGGGGCATGGACAATGCAGGAGCTGAGCCAACCCTGCGTGCCCCACCCGGCCGCAGGTCCACAGTTGTGACAGAACAACTCAGGCGGAGTTGTGCCGTGGCTGAGCACAGCGAGGCCGGGCTGTGCTCGGCAGCCCTCTAGGTGCAGTGGGCGGAGGAGGGACGGCTGGTCAGCCAGCCAGGTCCGGGGCCGGAGCACTCGCCCAGAGCTCAGGGCAGGGCACCCCTGTTTTCACAGATCCACTGCCCAGGACCCTGGCCCTGACCCTTCCTGCCTGTGCCCACTCCAGGAGGAGAGCAGAGCCTGGCTCAGGGGCGCGGGGTCCCGGTACCTCATGGCTTCCGGGCAGTCAGTGGCAGGAAACTCCTGGCTGCCTTGTGGCTGAGGGTCCCTGGGGAGAGTCCACGGGTCCCGCTCCTTCCCAGCCACCCGTCTGCAGGGGGGCAGCCTGTCCCTGTGCAGGACCGCCTGCCACGCCCATCACATGGCACTGTGTGTGCGCGCCCCACCGCCCTCCTGCCACATGGGGACGCTGGAGGGGGGTTCCGGGGGCTCTGGCCTTCCAGACACCTTCACAGCAAGCCCACTGGGAAGGAGCAGCCTCTCCTCCTGTGCCCTCTTTTGGTGGCCCAGCTGCTGGGGTCCAGTCTACCTGCTCCCAGTGGGCTGTGTGGCTCTGTGGCTTAACTCCTCCCCGTCTGTCCCTGTGTCCTGACCCCTTGTCGGCTTGATGGGAGGCCCTGGCTGGTGCCAGGCTGGCGTGAGGGGTGGCACAGATGCAGCTGGTGCTGTGCCACTGCTGCTGTTGTCACTGACACACTTGTCACTAGGCCCTCGTGGGAGAGGCCACTGCAAGGAAGGCACAGCCGTGCGGGTGTGGGAGCCTCTGGGCATTCTGGGGGCCCTTGCTGACCCACCCTCTGCAGGACTTGGCCTGGCACCCGCTGGCTGCCTCCCTGGAGGGCACCCTGGCTGGGCTGTGGCCCATCGTGTAAGCATCCAGGGTCCTACGAAACAGCGTGGGCCACACGGCATCGCTTGCTCTCGCATGGCCCTGGGGAGTCCTGTGGAGGGCATTTGCGAGCCGGGACATGGCGGTGGAGGCCAGAGCCGCCTGCAGACCACCAGGTGGCACAAAGCAGGTCATCAGTGTCTGCTGGGCTGAGTGACCCTGTGGACCTCGCAGGAAGGGACGCCCCTTGTGGCACGGCTACTTCCTGGGAATCCAGAGGGAATGAGAGTCACGTGACTGGCCATGCCATCCCCGGGGGCAGGGTGCGCCCGCGTCCCTTAAGGCCGCCACTATCCAGTGGTCTTGAGGACCAAGGCAGACAGGGGCCCTCCGCGTGCAGGGAGGTTCCTGCCCCGGCCACGGCCCCGCTGGGCATCCCTCAGGCCACGCCCCTGCAGATGCCTGGTGTGGCCCACTCCTGCCCCAGCCACCTGTGCCCAGGGCTCTGTTGCCCGCAACCTGCCCACTGCTCCCATCAGACACAGGGCAACGAGAGAGCGGCAAGTGTCGGCGACGACAGAGGCTCGGGGCCAGCGCCCCCGTGCGATTGGGTACGCACCGTGCTCGCAGTGAACTCTGGCGGGTTGTCGTTCACGTCTGTCACCGTGATGATGGCTGTGGCTGTGTTCGAGAGGCCGTAGTTAAGGTTCCCCTCCATGTCGGTGGCCTGGACGATAACGGTGTACTGCTGGACTTTCTGCAGAGGAGACATGTGCGGGGAAGGACAGCGGGTCAGCTGGGTGTCACGGATGGAGTGTGCCCGAGACCCCAGAGGGCTGGGCTGTCCCAGCACGGAAGCTTCCCTTCCCCTCCTGTTGAGGGCGACAGGTGGAGGAAGAGTCCTGCTGTGTTTCTGCCTCAGGGCCCTTTGATGGGACAGGTCACCCCTGTGCCGAGGTGGAGATCGGGGTGCAGGGAGCACCAGCTCTACTATGGGTCTGAGGGAGCAGAGAGGACGGTTTGCAGAGCAGGGCGCAAGGCTGCAGCCAGTGTTGGGGTTGGGACGTTGCCGCCTGAGCGCTTACAGTGTCCGGCTGGACTGCAAGTCAGGTTTTTTTTTTTTTTGGTTTTTCTCCGGTACCGGGAACCGAACTCACAACCTTGCGCTTGACAGGCAGGCGCTTTTGCCGCTGAGCTAAATTCCCAGCCCCCTGGACTGCAAGTCAGAACTGAGAGAAAAGAAAGAACGGCGCCCTGCGCGGGTGCTGATGCGCCGTGGCTTGTGAGACACCTTGCTGCTCTTTGGAAGTGCACGTTTGTGAGTATGCCCGTGTGTACATGTGGATGCACTATTCCTGAAGGAATAGTTATGCACAGAGGGCGGGTGTGAGCTTTGAAAGGCAAATGCAGCGCAGTGAGGTGAGCGCATCTGCCTAGGCATCAAGGGAGGCATCCCAGCTCTCCTCTGCCGGCCTGGCCCTCGCGCGTCCAGCCGGCACATCTTGCTTTCACACAACCCTTTCTGGTCAGAGGTCAGAGGCTTCCAGCACCGCAGCTGAGGATAAGCCCAGCTTATCCTTGTCCCAGGCCCTGCCCCTCTTTGGCACCTTGGAGCGGAGGGTCCCAGAGACCCAGGCAGACAGGGGCCCTCTGAGAGGCCCCTCACTTGCCCGGCAGTCCTGACTCTTGCTCCACTAAGAGGTTCAGGGGAAGGCTAGGTCCTGGCCCCGTGAGTCAATGGAATGCGCTCAGTTCCACACACTGGCTCCCTAGGAAATTATAAAGAGCAGATGGGTTGCAAACGCCCTGCCCCTCCTCTCATCCACCATCCTTCTAACCATCTACTCTCTGCCTGCACGTTCCGCTCCCGGGCCAGTCAGTGTTTCCAACGGTGAGGCAGCAGGGCCTCACCTTGGCAACTTCCTCCATGTCTACGCAAGTTTCTCCTGCTCTTTACAAATACGATATTCTTCCCCCTCCCAGACCCATTTGGAAGTCTCCACTTCAGAGGTCTCTGTGCATCGTTCCAAGGTTAGGCAGGGCGGCCCGGGCACTCCCTGGGCTCCGGCTCCCGCTTGGAGGCTGCTCCTGGGCTGCCCCTGCTGAGCAGCGCGCATGTGCTCGAAGGCTGCTCTGTGTCCACCTCTTTACAGGCTGGCAGCCTTGTCTCCATTGCAGCGTGGGCTTGCGCCATGCGGCCAGTTCCACAAACTCAAGAACAGCACAGGCCGAGATCGGAGAGATAATCAGAGAGGAGGAGGCCGCTAGAGAGAGGGCTTCTTCTCCACAAGTGGGACCTCCTGGCATCGAGTCACTGCCTGTGCACGGAGGCCGTCCCGGCAGCTGTGCTCAGAAGATGCTAGAAAGACATTTGGAGACACAGGCACCCATACATGTGCTTACGTGTGTGCATGCATGTGTATGAACACATGTACGTGTAGCACATGTTTGTGAGTATGCCCATGTGTACATGTGGATGCACGTGTCTATGTGCACACGCACGCACGCACTTTTATATGGGTGTGTAGTGTGTATTCACACGCTGGTTTCTGTGTGTGTCTCTGCTTGTGTGCAGGTCTGTGTGTGCAGCCAACGGCCACGAGAGGGCGAGCGGGGCTCGCTTTTGGGAGGCAGGACCGGTGTTTCCCGGACGAGATCGGGGATGGAGGCGTCCAGCCAGGAGGGAGCCAGCTGTCCCAGGGCTGGAGCTCGCCCAGCACCAAGGGCAGCCGCGACTCAGGCTCGCGGCGTTGTCAGGAGCACAGGGCTGGGCACCATTGCCTGTTGCTTGCGTCTGCGCTAGGGGTGCTTTTCAGGCCTTGTTGCCCGCACCCTTCTCCTTTGGGGATGTGGTCAGCTGGAGGGTGGGTGGGCAGGGCCCAGGCAGGTGCCCACACGGGGTCCACAGAGGTGTCTGGTCTGCATTTAGTGGGCAGGCTGGCTTAGCTGGAGGTTTTGATGCACTTATTGTGAAATGCTGCTGTGGGACATTGCCTCCTGGTCCTGACGTGCATTTCACCCTTTCGTGAAGCAGGTGAGGTGGGTCTGTAGCGAGCAGCAGGCTGGGACTGGTTTTCTGGGGTGCTCTTGTCTTACCCTGAGAGGCGAGGTCGCTGTGTGTACATGTGAACCTCAGCCTGGGCCTGTGCTGCCTCCGACGGTGGCCCTACAGCTTCCGAGGCCAGGCGCTGGCCAGGGTGAGCTCTGGGGCCCAGCGCCCCTCTCCTGGGCCTTGTGGGCCTGGCCTGTGCAGCCCCCATACCCTTATCAGCCCTCCGTGGGAGGGAGGAGGCTGGGCAGGCAGTGGCCACCTGTGTCCAGGGCCACCCTGCTGGACACCTGCAGGAGTCCTGAGTGGGGCCCTGCGGCCGGCCCAGCCTGGTGCCTGGGGTGCCCGCTCAGCTGTCCCTAGGCACAGGGAATGGGGCCGAGGCCCCGGCGTGGGCCACACTGTCAGCAGCAGAGCAGCAGTGAATCCATCAGAAGCAGACTGGACCATTTTCAAGTTTGAGAGCAGCGGTTGTCCCCGAGGCTCGAGCCCCCCTCCCCAAGGCTCAGCACACAACTTCCACAGAGCCTCATCCATGCTGCAGGCCCACCTGCCCTGGAAGGGATCAAAGCCTCCGTGGCAAGCGCAGCCTTGCTGCACCGTCCTCCCACACCCAGCCCAGGCGCAGAGCTGCGGCCGTACCTCCCTCCCTGGACCCGGGCTCTGAGGATCAACCTGAGGCTCGAACCTCGGCCCCTCTGCCGCAGGGCTGGGGGCCTGGGCCTGCTAGGCTGTGGCAAGGTGGGCCCTGTGCTCTGCAGGCAGTGGGCGGGGCATGTGAACGGAGGCTGGGAGCCCAGCCGCAGACCCCCTCATCCCGTCCTCCCGTAATAGGCCCAGGGCCGGTGGAACCACTGCGCTGCTCTGCTCCGGTGAGCATGTTTGAGCCTTTGTCCCGCAGCTCTGTCCTGGGCCCTGTGTCCTCTTGGGCTCTCCTGGCACCACTGCTGGAATGCCCACTCCCTGCGACCCTGAGAGCACGGCCCTGCCCTGCCTGCCAGCTGCGGGCCCAGGGCGGGAGGACTCACGGGGCTGGGTGCTGTGGAGTGGGGCTTGCGGGTGCTGGGAAACAGAAGTTGAGCTTCACATTGCTACACGACCTGGCCTCAGCTTGGTGTCTATGCAAAAGGGCTGAAACAGGCATTCAGGAAAGTGCTGTCCCCGGTGCTCACCGCAGCCAGAGCGATGGACCGTGCACACGGCTCGGGCTGTGGGCTTGTGGGCCACCCCTGGGTCACACACGGGGCGCAGCGCTGACACCCCTGCACTGCGGATGGCCCTCAGGGACCTGTCCCCCTGACAGCTGTGGGCTACCAAGCCCACGCGGAGCGTGCATCATCGGAGCGTCCAGGGCAGGGCGGGGAGTTTGGGCTGAGCGTGACGGGCATGGGGCCTCTGTCTGGGGTGATGAGGGTGTCGGGAGCTGAGGGAGCGTGCGCTGGGCACCCTGGACATGCCAGATGGGGCGGGCACCGTGGCACACGACTTATATCTCCAAGAGCACAGTGGTCACTAGAGCACAGTGTCCACTGGAGTCCCTGCCACCTTGTGAGGTCCTGAGGGTCTCTGTGTCCACCGTCGCCTGGTGAGGCTCTCTAGCAGCACAGGCCCCCTTGGGGCCTGCAGGATCCCCAGGTGTCCTCACCCCCACTTTGGGCTGAGCCCCTCCCAGGACGCTGTCCCGCCCCCAGCCCGGTCCCAGTCCCTGGTCTGTGTGCGAAGGAGGCACAAGAGACCCTTGTGCTGAGAAGCCCTATTGGCCGAGGCAGAGCCCAGGGGCGTGATGCCCTGCTGGGGACATCCTTTGGCCCGCTGTGAACTTGACCCGATGGCCCTGTCCCTGGGACAAAGCTAAAACTCTGGGTTGAGCCTGTGGCCGCTGTTGCTGCTGTGTCGGGGATGCGTGTCTCCCTGAACCTGCCCACTAGCCGTGGGACCCCCAGGGGGTGGTGCTTTGAGTCTACCGCAGGGGGCTTGGGGATCTCTCGGTCTCTCTCACTCTGTATGACCGGGTGACCAGGTGGGCCACCGTTTCTCAGTGGGAGATGGATTTCCTGCCTCAGCCTAGGCTCCAGGAGGGAAGCCCAGAGGGAGGTTCTGCACGCTCCCCAACATCTGCCCCAGCAGGGGGTGCGCTGCCCGCTCCCACCCCTCCTCTCTCCCTGTCTGTGTCTCTCTTTCCCTGCTGGGCACTGGAGGAAGATGAGCTACCAGGAGCAGCTGCCAGAGACTTCCCAGTTGGTGTCTGGGAGGAGGGGTGCAGGAGGGCACGGAGGCCCCCTGTGCAGGACACTGGACCTGGGGGTCTGCTCCGATCGCTTCTGAGGACCCTCCAGGCCTCAGGTGGGAACACACCTCCTGAGGATGATGCTCTAAGCCAGTTTTTCCCAAACCAGGCCAGACTCCTGGGGCTGGGTCCTTCTCTGTCGTGGATGTCCTGAGCAGTGTGGGGTGCCGATGGCCTCCCTGGCCTCCGTCCACGAGGGGCCAGGAACAGCGGCCCCCAGTGCAACCACAAGTCACTAGCTGTCTCCCAGGGGGAATGTCAGGCCTGGTGGAGAAGCGGGGTTTAGGGGATGAGGCAGACAGTAAATAAGCAGAAACAGCAGTCTGGGGGCGACAAAGGCCGGCAGCATCCTCAGCAGGAGTGGGGACAGAGGTGGGGCGGAGGTGTTAACTGGATGGGGGGTGAGCAGCCAGCGAAGGCC